TAGCCTGTGATGAATCTAACAATTCCGGTCGATTAAATCGCTTTTCAAATCTTCAGTTCAACGCTCCACACCTTTCGAAAAGTTGTGGGTCGGCTGTCCACTCTCGTCTTAAATAGTTTCACTAACACCAGGCCTCTTGCTGCCCGTTTCCCGTATCAGACGGAATGACTTCCGATGTTTTCCAAGGGCAGCCCCCACTTCCATCTCTGAGGCACGAATAGACCACCACGCTTCACGGTCTCTATTCTAACTTGCACGGAGTTTTACTCTGATGTCTTTGCGAGTCTCATTTTGTTCGCTTCCAGATGAAATGTGCCAACAATCATCGATAAATTCCAGGGACTGTGACGAGATCCAATGTCTATTTTGGCTAGTCCATTTACCACATGATGATTTACCTGCTGCTAGTAAGGTCTGGTGAACATGCGATCAGTGACCTTCAACTGTTTTCAGTGAGTGCTTACGCAACCCGAACGCCAGGGTACTTCGATACGCATTCAGAACATTTGGCTTCGTCAGTTGGCTCGTGTCTATGCGTTCACGGGGTCGTCGTGGATGACCGCTAATACGCACTCGCAGATCAGCGCACACAAATGCATGGTCAGTGTCCACACATGTGCTCCGAATCGAGCGACGGTTTTGGACGCAGCCCCTCCAGTGATAACTGATCGTCATGTGGTCGATTTGTGTCCATGGCTGGTCCGGAGCTGGTGGGCACCATGTCACCTTCCGACGAGTACCATGTCGGAAGTTTGTGCTGACAAGAAATAAGCGAGCATCTTCACACAAATGAAGTAACCGCTCGCCGTTATCATTACGGGCGCCTGTACCATATTGGCCGCCCAGATGCAGCTCATCAATGGACAATTTTCCAACTGGAGCGTTCAGATCCCCAGCCAGTACTACATTGTCTGTGCTTCTTCTGTGGCGAACGAGCTCGTTTGGTTGGCGATAGAAGTCTTTATTTTACCGAGTCCTTGCTACAGTTTGTGAGGGCGTCGGCAACGATGACAGACACCTAGTAGCCCCGCGTGACTTCATAGCTTTGAACGAGCCCACCAATCGGGGCACACACACATCCGTCTACTGCAGAGCAGCTTCCGCCGGGGACTCAGGGCAATACCAACACCGGTCTGGTCGGTACTCGAAGCTGCACCGTTTCTGGATAGGCGCAATGAGAAAGCACTGATAGTGTCACCTGAAGGGGATCGCAGAGTGAGCACAGAGCTTGGGTCTTGTAGGCGGGTTTTCTATAGGCAGCAGATATCGCTCGAGAGGGTCTCTAATGATCTGGCAAGTGCTGTCTATTGACCGATCTGTAACAATGTGCCGTGTGTAACAGTGAAGCATGCCAATCTGAGGGAGAATCGGGGACGCCAAATGGAACCTCGATGAACTGGGTTTGACAGCTTGGTTAGACATGAGCTTGTTGATAGGGCAAGACTGACGCTCCGCGTTTGCATATGAGTGCAAACTAGAAGATGGTTGGCGGCATCTGGTTTCGGATTTGCCTGTCACTGTGGCCAGCCACACGACGCCTACGCCTACAGAGGGACCATGGGTGGCTTGCTCTGCACCACCCACAGCTGCAACCACACACCCCATATCCAGTGTAAACCCGAAGGAATAAGACCGGGAGGCATGCGGATGGGAGCCACGTTTCATCAACGGAGCCGGCCCATACTCCTTCACAGCCAAACACAAGCACACTGTATTTGGGAATCAAGCGCACACACAAGACGGTGGCTGGACCGTAGTCCGCTCCACACTGAGTGCATGGAACCACTCTTCGAGCCTAGCACGGCCACAAGGACCGTGCACGTCGTCCCCTCCAGCAACGACCAACTGTCTCCTGGAGCCAGTATGGACGAGGTAGTGGGTAATAGACAGGTAGGCATCTTGTCAACATGCACAACAAGCGCAGCCACGCCGGGGATGGCAAACAACAGCCAATCATTTGAAATGACATTATCAAATAAAATATATCTGTTAAAGAATTCGGCTATACCGACATAACTCTCCAACATATTAGCATAAGAATTAAGTTGGTTATCAACGAATCAGCGATAAGTAAGAAATGTCCACAACTTACTCACTAACATACTACAAACATAAAAAGTTGACGAGGATAAGCACAATTAACGTGAGCAACTTGGCCAGTTAATAGAAGATTAATCAGGTAGGCAGAACGAAGCAAATAAACTGGAATGAAATATATCCGGCTTAAAACGACCTAGTGTAAGTGTAAGTTGGTTTATCCCAGCTGCGGTGAAGACGTATCATGAATTCAACATCCGCCTCAGCATGGGGCACAAACTAGAAGATAGACACCTACCAAAGCACGGTGGGGTGAGGGCGAGAATTGGGGGGATGAAAGTGAACTTGGAACCGGTTGATGATGTGAGAGATTGTGCCCCATTTACCTATTTGGTCACCGCAGACAGAAGACAAAGATTGCAATATGTTGACATTTCGATAACTCTCATCAGTCGCAACCGTAATACATTCAAGTAAAAAATTAACGTATGTATATGTGGAACGAACTTATGCGGATGAGTCAAAGTTGAGCAATTAAGATCAAGGCAATCTGACAGATTGCCTCAGTTGCATTTGCACGCACAGTACCGGCCGGTTAACTGCAATCAGTAATGCCTCACTGATTGCCAGCATTTTCGAGTTGTGGTTGATCAGTAGCACTTTGAAGGTCTTCGATGATGGCCTGTCATCACGAGGTGTTATGTAATAGACAAGTTGGGGGTTCCGGCTCTCCATTTGATTCTTCACTTCATGTTGTACCATGGGTTTCTACAACCCCTTTGAGAAATGCTCAGCTACCCTCTGGGCCAGTCGCCGGTCAGTCTTGTCTATACAGACATCACCACAACTGCAGGCGAACTCGTAAATAATATCAGAGGCCATACCGACTGACGAACTGTCCGGACGGTAGTTGAGCTCCAGTCTCCGTGTAGCGTGAAGGATCCGTAGACACGCCATGGTACAAGTGCGCGTTACACCAGGCCTAAGTTTGTGACCAATTTCATTTGAAACATTATCCCCTTTGAACGAAAGAATTAAACAAACATCTTTTTCTCCACCGTTTGTACTGGTAGCTCCTCTTTAATGGAGCTACTGTGAAACTGAATAAATTTCCTCGGTTACCCGTTTGACAAAAGAGTCCTATGTAGGAACTCTTTTCACTCTGCAGCATCTCTGGTATGCAAATACGCCTAACTCTGTAGTACAGAATTCTGATGAGTGCCCGTTTGTATGCAACCGGTGCGAAGCTGCTGAAATGCATGTATTGCCCAATCCAACTCGCTTTACGGTAGACAGTGCGTTGAAGTGTACCTCCAACCGCGGGGTATATTTCTGTTTTCTCTCATACGACACGGAGAGATTAAGATGGGTCGAATTCAACAGGGTGACAATTCGGTTAAAATGCTCATCGCTGGTGACAGTTCATATGTCACCCACGTAATGTTTATACAGCTTGGCCTCATTAATGGTGTTTACCATCTTTCTTTCAATCAATCCCAAGAATATGTCTGCCAAAACTGAGCCTAGAAGGCTTCCCATTGCAACGCCATCGACTTGACTGTATGCGGATGCTTCACATTCAAACAGAACATTTTCTCTGCATGTTACTATCAGGTCACTGAGGTACTCAGGAGGAAGACCAACAGATAGATTTTGTCTCAAAAGGAAACTGCATCGACAGTCTTGTGAGAAGTGAGTCCACATCTATCGAGTACTTGCGCCCTGTATGCAATTACGTATGGTTTAATGTTTCGACTAATTCGAATGAGTCCTTCAAACAGTATGTGGCCAGGAGTTTGCGAACTGATTCCAGCAGTTTCGCCAACCAACGAGCAACCTTGTGATACGGGGAATTGTACATGCACAAAATTGGTCAGTGCACCTCTCATTCCCGTTCCCTGTCGACTTCATTTGCCGATACAGTGATTCGGTGATGTACCCATGCAACAAAAGAATTTGCAATTTTCCTGCAATCTGCTTTTCTACCAGTCACAACGCTGTTATCCCCCTGGAACTTACCTGTATCCCCGAAAACATATTTCATCTTGAAGATATACTCCGCTTTAGCCATGGTCATCATGACACCCGATCCTTTATTTGGCTGCGAAAAGATCGCATGTTTCATCTCTTTGATCGCCTTGCAGTGCTCAACTCCCACACAACACCTTATGCTTACTGGTATGTTCATCTCGTTCCACATGCACATACGTTACTTTTTTACCCAAATGTGTTACGTTTGGGAGGATAATGATGAAAAAGCGGGAAGGCTTAAGCAGTAATATCCAATCTCCTATCCACCCTGCTCGATGCAGCAGGTAGGGCACCGTTGATTATCCTCTGCGGTAGCTAGAGCATCAGGAAATTGTTTGATGAAAGATTCATAGTATTGCGTGGGCAGGATACTGTCAGGTTGCCCATGCCTAGACAAGAGGACGATTAGAGTTCTCAACCAAAGTCTTTGGTTCAGAAACCTGACCGCAAGGCAGTTGGTTTGGCGGTGGGTTACAAGGAGTCCATTTTAAGGAATAAGGAACCACCCTCACTCCAACTCCCGACCTGGAGGGCCAGGAGACTGAGTTTGTCTGGCCTCTAACCATTGACCAATTTGGTATGAGTGGCTCTGAAGGTGCAAAAAGCACTACCCAGCATAGCTCAATGGATTTCTGAGGCACGCAAACCATCGCACCACGGTATTGTCCGTTTTATCATATCTAGTACTTACATGTTCGTGATCGATGAAAATGTGTGCTATGATTACCTCATCCCACAGCTCGTCTTTTAATGTTGTCTAGCAGAGGCCCTCATGCGTGTTTGGTCTACTGTTTCCTGCATTATCTTACTACACTATTTCAATGTAAACTGGATCACACTGACCTGCTTTTTACTTAGGCTTTCCCATGGAATTTCTGTTGCTACCTAGGCAGCGTTTTCACCATCTAATCGTGTTATTTGACCGTTTTTAGGTACACACCGTTCATCCAGCCTTGTGAAAGGAATACAGCTAGCAGCAACACCACGATCCCTTCCTATGCGGAGTCATCGATGCAAGCCCCTAGTTATGTTCACTCGGTTTCTCACTGCTTCTCTGAGCAGCCTCAACCATGCGCGACGGCTGGTGGTAGTGGTGATACAGCCCTCCCTCTACCGATGAACCATCCTGCACGTCCCAAAAATCTTGCTTTCTCCTTTCGCACTCCGATCCTCTCATCGCATGAGGCCTTGCGGGGGCCTTCTTGCGCTCTGTACACTAATGGCAATGCTGCGCTATGTGTGAGCGATTCAGCGCAGAAACGGCAGCAGCAGCAGCAGCAGCGGTGTGGCATCCGTAGTGAGTCACACACCGACAGCAATTGTACGCCAACGAACGATCTGTGCACAGTCACTCCCGTCAATATGACCGAACCCAGCGCATTGAATCTGGACTCCTCGTTGATGGCAGGTTTACAGACAGAGTTGTCCTCCATTGATCGTTGCGGGTCCCCTGGTTCTTCCACTGCTCCAGGAGGCCCCTTGTGTTCTGATGTTTCTGTCAATGAGCTAGCTTCGTACATGGAGTACATGGTTCACATTCCTGGACGCATGTCGGAAATGGCACAACGGATGTATCTGTAGACCTTCTTTTCAGATGATTTGTCAGTGACAGCTGTCCCTCTCTCCTATTTCTCCTCGCAGATGCGATCAGTTGGGTGTGTTTCTCTCGCACAGCGTTTGCAATTGTGATTGTACATAGCGATTTATTGCGCATAACTTCTTCCCATCTCATTCAGATGAACAAAATTATTTGTCAGCTACCTCACCTGAGGAGCTCCACGTTCTCCTCGATCCCGCGTGTCATCAGAGTGAACTTTCACCATCTATGTGCATGCCTACAGCATCATTTGAAATGTTCATTATCTTGCTTAGGGTTTGAACGAGTGCATTTTTGCAGGTTTATATTCATCGCGTACACCACCGTTTAATTAGTCAGACGTCTGTACCCTTCTTGCTGTTATTGTCTGAAGTGCCGAAGCATTTTGGTTCTCATATATATATATATATATATATATATATATATATATGCCGGATCCCATGGACCTGTTTTGTTCCTTTTCTTTTATTCTATTGTGTTCCGGTAGCAACCATGTGGCTGTATGGCACCGTTCGTTGGCAATGTCTGTGTCTTGTTGTTCTACTGCGATCTCTCGTCTTTCTGATCTGTTTTATATATCGTATGGCCATTCGAACTGCACTCCACCTACTCTTTTGACATATGACTGCCTTCTTGCCCTACATCCGAGGCTGCCAACTGGATAATGACGAAGAGTACTTTGGCTTTTCCTTCACATTGCCATTCTTTGTCTTCAGTCATTTTCTTTTGTATACACCTTGGTGAAGTTTGCATAACAACTATATTTTCATCATACTTGTGCTGTTTACCTCATTCCTGGTGGTGCTGGCGTAATGGAGATGTTTGGCGTTTGACTTGCAGACCCCACCTTCCTTAGTTTGAGAGTTCCTGTTGTGTATCCACTCTCGCGATTACATCGCTACGCGGTACATCTGATGCTTAGCGACTGTCATCAAAGTCTACGCACGTTATTTTTTGTTATTTCCTAGGCATTTCTCCATTTAGCTCTTGTGTTCAATCGGTGTTTAACGAAGTGGAGGACTAGGAGATTACATATGATGCCTACCGTGTATCCCCTCGAAACTCGGAGTGTTGTGCAGACTTTGTTTACCTATATTATGTTTGGTAACAACACGGTCGTTTACATAGTGCAGAAATGCCTGTCGCTATGTCGTCGTTGTTCCTCAGTTCGTTCTTACCATGCACCCTGAACGGCTAACTTAGCCGTATCGGTTCGAACCACCACCCTCTTAATCTCTGTTTCCTGGGTCACTTCATTCCGTTCTTGTTTACCATAAACTGCGCGTCACTTATTCCATGCGCATCCAATCAGTGAACTTCTTCTCCTCGACGATATGTCTCGCCGACAAACGTGTCAGCATTCTACTCTTCTGACTGTCCTCCAGTTTTACTCCTTTATGTAGTCTCTCAACCACTGTGTGGCACGGTGAGCGATGCATTTTATGTGGCGAAATCGTAAAACTATCGAAAGCTGTGAAAATCGGCTGCTTCATTTTTCATTTTGAAGCTACGTGTGAGTCGTGTGCCCAACCGGGTTGACATTAGCTGCTGTTCGAACGAAGGTCGCTCTAACCGATGTCGTTTGCAATCGCGATCGTTGGTGAGTTACTCGCCTGACCCATTTCAGTCGCATATCGTTGGCACGATGAGGCGCCACACAGAATAGTGATGTATGTTTCCCTAGATTCACTTGTGGAATAGTTTTTATCCCTATCCACAGTCCATTTAATTACGGTGACCATCCACGGAGCTCCAGCTTGCCGTCTACCGACTAAGATGTCGCTCCGCAGACTCGCTCATTCAAGGATTATCTTGTTTCAGTATTTCAGAAGACAACATATAGATGGAACTAGTCTAGACTTGTCATTTAAGGCTTCTTGTTGCTTGAATCTAGTACACATATCGGTCATAACAATGATCTTCGCTTCTCCTGTCCTAACATCAAACTCCCTAAAATCAGCGTTTCTACCCCGTCAAACTACCTGGATTGTTACAAAATGATACTTCGGTTCAAACTGCCTTAGTCTCCCGATGTATTGTTATGCAACCATCCCCACTATGCTCTCCCATGTGTTGCCCTGCGTGGCTACCGTTTCACTCGTCATTTTAAGCCCATTCTAACGGTTTCATGTGTTTCGACCAGTGTTTTCATTTACATCTCTAGCTGAAGATTCTTGGCTATGACCTTTAGGCGTGGCTGGCTAATCATCAGTTATTTACGCGATTGCATGCCCATTTGTTTTGGCAGTTGCCGATACTCTCTTTTGGTGCGTGTGACTGCGGGTGTATTCATCCCCACCAATTTGGATACGTATTCACGGCATTTGCGAATAAATTAGGCCACTTATTATCCACTGCTTCTATCTGACAGTCCCTCACGCTGGTTTGGTCACGTATTTTACATTTCAGCCATCCGTTCCCCAACCCGGTACGTGTTTTTCGCCGTGTTAAGCATGGCGTCAGAGGCGTAAGGCAGCTGACCACTAGGCGGTTGAACACCGCGTTTGTGAACGTGAGCTCCGCTGACTAACCACAGCAAATGGGATTTTGACAAAGTGGCTACATGCGTCACGCGAAACCTTTGAAACCTATGCAGGCTTTCAGACTAATTCTGAAACAGTTAGTTTTGCAAAAAAGCTTCATCAGACCAAGTGAACAAGTGCTTGCTTTGGAGTAGCATTTATTGCAAACTAGGTTGGTTATCTCGTCAACTGACAGCCTAGTCAGAATGTTTAGAACAAATTGAAACACTGGTAGCTCAGGTCGATCGTTCATATCTCAAAGGGTCATCTCAAAAGTAACATTATGCACATAAGGCTTCTATGTGGTTCACGACTGCTCACATGTAACTTTTTAATAGTGGTATGATGCTTAATCTCCAATGTGGATCCGTTCACTGACAATTCAGATTGGTCCAGCACTTAAACTCTTTACGCGCTTAATGTATCTCTTGATATGATAATTTGATACTTGACCCCGATAGCCCTGTAACCGGCTCCCTGAGTTGTCGCGGTTGCAACTGGCTCGCCCAACAATTTCGTCGTGCTAACCGGGTTGATCGGTGTTATCCAGTTCCAGCCAACATTTCATGAACAGTGTTCCATTAAATGATGGGTTTTCGCCAGGCAGACGTTCTTTCTATCAAATGCCGTAAATCCCTCTCTGACAACACTACGATATGGTGGACGTGACTTGGCACTGGTTAAAGTCATTGCTCCTTGCTTCACCCCGGTGGAACACGGTATTTTAGCAGGATGATGCTGAGATTGTGGGGACGATTGAGCCTCGATCTATCAACCAACTGAACGAAAGGTGTATGAACTGAATAACCAGCAAATAGCTCACAGTGGGCGTCTTTTTCCTGAATCTGCCTTGTGGACTACTGGGCCAAAATCTTGGTGTGGTGTCCCCTAATTAAACTCCCTGCTACGCTGAGCAGCGGAATGGCATCACTACCTCTGACAAAACCATGGATTCTATAGCGTACTTCACTGTTCAGGCGTCTCCATCACATGCAAAACTTTCGTTGATGATGCTTGTCCATTCGAATCTACTTTCGACACCCCTCTCAATAATGCCCGATGAGTCGCCCACATTCGACCGCGATCTTCATCCTCATGCAGCTGTTTGGCCTACCGCCTACTTCGGGTTCCTTAGCTATCGATAATTACCCTTTTTCGGAGACTCGAGTACAGAACTCCGACGCTGTGCTTTGGTCGATACCTCTTGCTGATTCCGTCCTTAACCTTTCTTACGTCTTTCTGATAATGCAGAAGCACTTACAGTTGTTTTGGCTGGTGTTTGCATTGTATTGAGTGCTAATGCCAAGCTCGAGATTGTTTCCCCACTAGAACCTTTTCCTTCCTACTGTACTGCTTGTAATGACTGACTCATCCTTTGCTTATCGCTCTTATCGTCCCATTTTGCTGCCAATGATCCATCTGCTGTGTATTGGTTCACCGTCTGACGAAGCTTTTGCTGCCAAGCCTTTTTGAACATAACGTATGCACACGACGTGACTTTTACACTGTCTTCTGTTTCTACTTGTTTGACCTTTTGTTGGCCAGTACAAACACTTACGGACAGCTGGTCGACATATCTGAATTGTCGGCTGATTGCGACGAACAGAAATACTCTTCTGAAGTTTTCCTTTTTGGTTTACCCGTTTTTCTCTTATTTTTATCGTTGTCTTCCTTACGTCCCCGGTGTGCACCGTTGTTGCTAAATTCACTGTACTTGGTTGCACGTTTTACGTGCTCTTCTATTAATGACCCAGGCTCCGAATTGCAACCTTCTGAGGTTACACCCTGCTATCTGCTTAGCCGTTATCTTGATGCCACGTGAGCTTCACTCATCCGCTCGCTTGTACTTGACCTTCTCGTGCGGTAAGTATGCCATCAAATCGACCGACCTCACTCCATTGATAACCTTTGACCCGGATACACCAAATGACGCTGACCTCTGCTGGACGAACACACACGGCATTCAAGACTTCATTGCCATGGCGTATGAACGATTAACTAGTCTCAGGCCTATTTTGCTCCTTGTTCGTCGGCTTCGATGTGAATGTTTTGAAGGGAAGCCCGATGCTCCTATGAGCCTGAGCTATGGTATGTTCGACTTGTTCAGCGAACTTTGGCGTTTTTGTTTATATATCCGTAAGTCGTAAATGGCAGTGGCTGGCTGTTAATGGGAAGCGAAATCGTTCTGGTTTCACATGTGTAGTATACCCGGTGGCATTTGTCTACACCGAGGGACGTTCCACGTAGAACACCGGGAATCCAGTAAATGTAAGCTATGCCGTATTGCATTTTGCGTCTCATCAACACCAGTGGGCTTACAAACGCAAATTATCTGTATATCATCAGCAAATAGATAAGGTTTTTCAGAGACAAATGCATCAAAAATGTCAGTTGCTATTTAGGAATTAATGGCTCAGGCCACTGCCTTGTATCACACACCACTCGTAACTGGCTTAGGGGCGCTTGTTTTGTTGTGGGCCTGGACTTTCTGTGTTCTGTTAATGACGTAAGAATCGAAGCACGAAAGCTTGGGGTTGCCGATGTTATATGCAGTTAGTTTTAACAAGAAGTGAGCATGCAGAACTAATCAGAAGATTAGGTGAATCGATCTGACCTGTTATGCAGAATCGCGAATTTAGAAGCCGTGTTGTGAGGTGTTGACAAAATCTCGCGCCA